ACAGGTAGGTCTCTGGATTCTAACAACGGTATCCATCCATTTGGATAAACGGGAGGAAATTCATTGGCTCTTCTTAACCTATTTGTTTCTTTTAATAACTGCATTCGTTTTCTAAGTAATATCTTCGCATTCGTTCTTCCATCATCATAACCGATATCCGTCATATCCTGCATCGACAAACATTACTGTTGAAATGTAAATAATATTAAAATTTAAACTACTGCCTATGTTTTACTTACAACAACTCTACTATAAGTTGTTAACGAAAAATACATGACCAGAATAATAACGAAAAATAAAATCAGTAGATATGGTTTATTTATAATCGTTGTACTGATGCATTGAAACGTATCTAGAAACCAAGAATATTTCCATAATTCCTCTGTTACACTGCCGTATGTAAAGGAGAACATATTTGCTTGAATTATGATCTTGGATATGTCTAAAATGAAAAATTCAATTACATTATTTAATAATTTATTAAGTTCGATTAATTTAACACTCATACATAAACTGTTAATATAATTGATTATCTTAATAGGCTAGCATTGATAAGGTTTGGCTACACTGTTTCAATAGTAACGATTACNAACAAAGCCGTTGCTTTTGATACAGAATATAATTTTTGCAGTTTTAGTTAAAACATAAAATGAATAAATAGTCTAAGCATTCCACAACATATTCTTAAGGATAATTTTGTTTTAGTCTTTAACTAGGAATAGGAATACAGTCGTGCCGGTCATCTACCTAACACCTTTGAGAGAAAAATATTGGAATTGATAACTTGAAGTGTATATACAATTAATTGGGGCCTACTTTTCCTGAGCTTTCCATATCTGTTCTCGTCTTTTATCTTACTAACTCCGTTCTCTAGATTAAAGAACACAGACAGCCAACAGCCGGAATTTATAGGTCTACAATTTTTCAAATTGCTACCGAATAAGAAATATTTTTTCATATCTCTAGTAATAAAAAATTGAAGAAAAAAAGCGAAAGTTATTTATGTCATGCAGCACGATTATTTCGGACCTGAATATTATGCATATAAAAATATTTTTACCTGATCTAATCCTTGTACGACCAAATTTACATCTGATTTAAGATTAGAATTAGAATTTAGAACCTCGCAACTTCCTATTTATGCTCGGGAAAAATCAGATATAGCGATTTTATATGTAAATGAAAATTTCCTTTCGTTCAATGTACAAGTCAAGTTCCACAGATCAAGGATTAAGTCAACGATAAACACATCATTGATTACTTATTATTTTTTTATTGTTTTCCTTGTCAGCACTAAATTGGCCTTTCTTTATTGCTAGACTAATTACACCACCACCACAGGACATCAGATTAGAAAATTACTTTATTATTTTAAAAAGAATGCTACTAATGTAGAATTGTAGATATGCAAATTATGAAGCTGTTCCAGAGTTCCACCAGAGGTCAGCAGATGGATATAAATAAAACTGTTTTTTTACCTAAGTGATATTGTGAAGAATTTTAATACTGTGTTCTTGGAGTCAATTGTATTGTATGTATTTTTTAGTGTCACTTGTCGGTTATATGTTGTTATCATCTGTCTCTTATTGGACAATTAAAAAGGATAATTCTGTATAGACCAAAATTTTTTGTATGGTCATAATATTGATGTAACATTATTATATATTTCTGATTTGTAATAAAGATTTCATGTTGCATATCCTCTACTCTCAAAATTAAGCTTTTTTTTGTCATTTTATAAAAATTAAAAATATGAAAAATATTTTATAACAAAAACTCATAACAGATAGGATCACACACAATTGTACTTATTACGCTTAATAATGTAAAAGTTATAAGTTATATATATATATATATATATATATAATGGATATATATATGTATATATCCATTATTTGAACAAATTATTTATAAAATTTATATAAAGCCTTTTTATTAATATCGTTTAAACTCGTTAGAAGATCACGTTGCGATTTGGCATTGCATGTACGAACAATTTCATATTGATCACGTAAACTATCAAGTTTCATACATTTTAATAACATAGTGAAAATGTGAAAATTCGTCAGAGTTACATAATAAATATTTACTATTATTATTGTTGAATTTTATATAAATATTTTTTGTGTAGAGTGAATACTTAATTAATCGAAGTTGGATTAAACAGTAACGAAAAGCATAAACCATTAATTAAGAGCTTCTTTGCATTTATCGCTACACAATGTTAAATTTAGATTCATTCGATAAGATAAAGATAAATAGGATTTTCGAAGGCGAAAAGTTAACTTGTTGCTGTTCAAATCAATTGTTTATATCAATATTTTCGTTTCCCGTTGTCAAAAACTGTGATATCCGACTATTTCTAGTACTTTGATTAATTCTATTAATACTAGGAGGCCAGTTGTTCGTTGCAAAAGCAACAACTGTTCCTGCGATACAGCTTTAAACTTTTACCGTTAGACAATTCGTTGGTTTCGAACGGTCGTTAATCTCCAACTCTCAGAAAAAGTTTATTTGAATTTTAATATATAACTTCGAATAAATATAAATTTCAAAATGCATTTAAAAACAAATAATCGTTCTTTTTAAACTGTTGTTACTAATTTAATATTGACAAACTA